CTTGGCGGTCGATTTATTGCATCGTCACTAGATGTTATAAATCGACCCCCACTGGATCGATCGCTCCGGAGGTAAGTGTAGACATGCCCATAGGCTGGGACAACGCCTGAGCCTGACTGCTCTCAATGCTGCTCTGAGTTCTGCTGCTGCTTATATCAGATTAACGCCTCCATGCCAAACCTCCAAACAGAAAGTGAAGGTTAGGGTTGAAAAATCACTAGCTGTCCAACAATCGGATCCATGCAGGGAGGTATCCTTGCACCCTAGTGGGGTCTACTGATGTCAATGCAGTTCCGTGTGGCAGCAAGGGTCCACCAGTCCAGATCCAACTCGAGGATCAGGGCCATGATCCAAAATTAAACAGCGAGATCCCAATTCTACAAACATTCACACCTGAGTAACTTAATCCATGTGATCAGTTCCAACCAATTAGATTATTCACAAATGTAAAGTTACTTACATGTATGTTTGCAAACCCCGGGATTAAATGTAAACTCTTTTTTGTTAAAGGTGACCTGCATAGGAAAAAGCAAATTGAGCCTGTGTACTTTGGTGCTCCTTTATGATGTACAGTATAAAGAAGGCCCGAACATTTTTTTTTGTTTGTCTGTTGGTTGTTTAATTATAAAAAGGGGTTTTTGCCAATAATTTTTTAACATTAGCATTTCAATTCCTGTTTAGCCTGGAGCACTAGTTAAGCTATGACATGATAAGAGCCAAGAGAATGAAAGCAATGGAGAAGGAAAGAGATTTTAGTCAGACTTCAAAACTCTTTTGTTAACAACTATTTAACTGCAATGACTAATGAACATTTAGGAAAATGAATGTATTTGTTAAAATTCATCTCCCCTCACCCACTTCCCTTTCAATGAGCCCTCCAATAGATTCTCCAGGAAAAACAGGGAAGACAATAGTTCAGATTCCTATGTAAAGAACAAGTAAGAAAAAACAGTCTTAAAAATGCAGGCCCTCTTTTTACACTTCAGAGAAACAAAGTTTTAGAGGTCACCTTTAGCTAACCCTTCCCTAAGCTCATTTGAGGTTACTATACCTAAAGTTTGAAGTAGCTTTGTTAATGAGATCAACACATTAGCTTGTCATATATTTAACTTTTTTATTGTAAAGTCAAATCTTGGACATTTTTTAAAGTTTTCTCTGAAAATAGAATTTGAAATTGTGGCTCCACGGGCAGCCACCAGGGGGCAAAAACAAACTACGGTAAGTAACCATCATCTCCAGAGCGACAAAGAAAACAAAATGTCATCTAAAACAGTCTGCTGCACTGGACAGTGTAGATACCATTTTTTTAATGTTTTATCACCACTATTAAATGACAAAAAACACTGTATTTTCTCCTAGGTCTCATTAGGGAGCTATAGATGAAAATGCTAATATGGGGGTAATTGTATTTCATCATGCGTGAGCTTGTAACCCCAAGGAGTCAGTCTGTCTGCTGCAGCCAGTCACCATGATTCAGTGCACTCAGCACACATGGGAGTTGTTCGCTTACTCAGTCTCCATAGAGAGCACCATGGTTGTTACTATGCAGTGCTGAATTAAAACACATTTTCCCTTTCTAATCAACTCACACATTTGCAACTGATTGTGTTAGTTCCTATTATGTATTCTTTGACTTATGTAGCAGGCACCACATTTATAGATAATCACTTTTCATAAACTTTACACAAGTATTTCTTTATGATATGAAGTGTTGACTCAACAATCCATCAGTCTCACCCCTATAGATAACTCACTCACTTATTTAAAAATAAAATAAAAGTGTAGTGATGGAAAAAATAATACCTGACCAATAAAAGCCTGGCAGTGTGATGTAACATTATGTAGAATGATTTTATATAAGACCATATATTACTAGTTAACATTTTAATGATATCAGGATATGACTAATTATATTTCCTATATTGGGTGATGGGGTGGGAAATGGTTGACTGCATTCAGAACAGCAACTGCTGAAAATTAAAATAGTATCTCAGGCCCAAATCCTTAAAGGTGTTTGAGTGCCTAACTCCCATTAATTTCAATGGGATTTAGGCATTGAAATACCAGTACCTAATGCGGCCCAGTTCAGCAAGATACTTAAGCACAGGAGTATCATAAAGTTAGGTACATGATGAAGAACCCAGACCTGCCAAGACTTATGCATGTGCTTAATTTTACATACTGCAAGTAGTTCCATTCCAGTCTACTCACAGTGCATAAAATTAAGCACAAGCATTACTTCTTGCAGACTGACTGGAGCTTATGTATCTTTCTGAATCAGGGCTTGAATACAAGAATTATACAACAACATTAAAACATTTTATATTTTATGGCAGAAAATTTTACATTTACACAGGTGCCCTTAATGTTACACATGCTGCACGTAGACTGTGCACAGCTAGTTAAGTATTCTTTTATTCAAAGTGGTTAAGAGGCAGTAGCCAGGCATTAGGTAGCTGCATTTTACATATTCTTATCTCCTCTGGCCAGACTTCCATCCCCCTCAATGTTAGAGGCCTGAGTGATAAGCCTGATCTGCCTTACTTCAAGCATGGTAACTAGACTGATCTAATTTACAACACCTAATTTACATCCCACTTATCCCATACAGAAATGCTCTGGCTCTGCAGAATTTAAGAGCTCTGCGGGACCTAAGCATCAACCTGCAGAGATTTGTAGCTCTGCAGAAATAGAGTATCAGGCCTGGGGAGCTCTACTCTAATGCTCAGCATCTTTGGAGATCGGGAACTAGAGATACTTTTATAAAACTCCCTAGGAAAATAAATGCTAGAAACTTTATTAACACAATATTAATATGGCATATACCAGGGACAAACATGCAATCTTAATGATATAAACTAATATTCAGTCTTTCATTATCTGATCACATACAATTTTCAATATGCAAAAGTTAAGGTTCCCATAGCAATGTTAACTCTGTCATATTGCACATACATAATATTTTCTATTCCTTTTTTTCTGTTTAAATGTGAAACTGAATACATTTTATAACAAGCTGCAATACATAAGACACAACACTAATATATGAATAACTTTAGCTATATGATTAAGTGCTGCATATGCTGAAAGTTTAAAAATATGTTTTGTGGTCAGAGTTAAGCTTATTTTTGGAATGGGTAAAATGATTTTTTCACATCAGTAATGTAGCTAATCAAATATGTGAAATGTAAGATTAATATTTATACAATTTACCCTAACTAGTCATTTTCATCCTTTATATTCTCATTTGTATTGTGCAAAAATTGAATACTTACATATAATGAAGGAGTAAGCATCACTGAATATTTTTAGTAATTTTATAATAATGCCTATATAAAGATGTTAGCAATATATTTTATGGCTCCTCAGTTCACATTAAAGATAAATAACTTACATACTTCTTAAATGTTCAAATGTTAAATTGCAATATTTTTGTTTCCGAATTTGGATAAACATCATTATTCTTTGTAGCAATCTTAACTGTAAGTTAAAGGTTTGCGGTGCCTAGTTTTTTTTTAAATAAAAGGAGGCCTGAAAACTAAAATAAAGATGTCATAAAAAGACATGTCAGCACATAAAAGTTTTCAAGCATACTGGGCTCATTGCAGTTTGTGTAGACAATTTTATGCATCAGGCTAGTAGTTGACTGTAGAGAAAACTTGATGTGCCAGGCATATAGTTTTGTTTTTTTAATAGTAAGGCTCTTAAGGTCTGTGACAGAGTAGCAGAGACTGCTCTCATCACAGAGCCCTTGAGCTGGGCAGGAGTCCTCCAATTCATGAGAAGAAACTTCCTAAGAGAAAAACAGCAGCGAGAACTGTGGACTTAAGCCAGGAAGTCTGTAGTTCAGGTGATCATGGCAGTGGGAAGTAGTTCAGTAGGATCTTGGCACCGATCCTACTAGACTGCTGAAAGTTTTATGCATCTAGAGGTAAAGAGCACCTAACACGACCACGTGTTATGCACCTAAAGAATACACGAGAGGCCCGGTTTTGTAACCACATAAGCAATAATACACCTTAGCCACGGAGTGGGGACCATAGAGGGGCCTAACTTGCACTGATGTTGTGTTCACTGGACATGCAGGGTGCCAGGCATGTGCCAAGCAGGAGCAGAGGCTGCAGGGATAGCAACGGCCAGGGAGATGTAAGAGAAGGCAGCTGACTCCTCGCTGACCCACGCACAGCTCCCGTCTTCAGTTTAGCAGCACCAGGTATAAGCAGACTAAGCAACTGGTTAGGGCCCTGAGCAGCTCGAGGGGAGGACTGGGCTATTCGCTTTTTGAGGACGTGTGTTTAGGGGTGGCAAATATTCCTGTGTAGGGCCCCCAATGGTCTAGCACCGCCTCTGCAGCTTAGCATGTCGCACCCCCCGTCCTATAGGCCTGCTCAGTGACAGTAACCCCGCCGCAGCACTGAAGACCACCCAGGCAAGGAACCTGTGAGGTGCATGCAAAGGCTGCACAAACCCAGGGCCCCATCAGGGCCAGCCTGAGCCCGCCCGCGCATGCGCTCATCCTCTCTAAGGCCCTCAGTGACGCTAAACCGTGCGCACGCGCCTAGCCCTACAACCGTGACCTCATCATCATGGCTCTGGTTCAGACCCTTCTCCCATCGTGCCACGCGCAGAAGACGACAGCGCCTCCGCCTTGCGTACGCACGCCAACGGCCGCCAGCGTACGGGATCACGTGACTCCTAGCAGCCGACTTCTCGCTCTCCCCTCCCCCACCCAACGAAAACTGGGCCTGCACCGACATTCTCATCTACGGCAACTACCATGGGCTAGTCCGGACAGAAGAAGTCGAGCCCCGGGGCTGTCGGGGAGCTCCTTCTACCAGTCCAGGAATTTCTTTCCTTACCCCAGGCTCTACTACGGGCGCTAAAGGCACCACGTCACGTGAGGGGAGAGACCGCGGGGAGAAGAAGAGATGGCCACTCCTCTGATGGGAGGGGCAATGAGAACAAGTCAGGTGGTACAGAGCGCCCGCCCGCGACGCGACATACTGGTGTCACGTGGATGTGGCGCGCGGCATACGGCGGGAGGAGGGGCGCCAAGCGGTGAGGTCACGTGTTGCGCCGCCGGCCCTTGGCCCCTCCTCCATGAGAGGGGAGGCAGGGCGGGCAAACATGGCGGCGGTGAGTTAGAAAGCGTCGGACGGCGGGGCTAGCGGCGGATACTTCCAGGAGCGGCTGTGGAGGGATCGAGAGAGAGTGAGTCCGCCCTACCCTCTTGCCCGATACCGCGGGGGGCCTATCCGGCCGCCTCAGGCGGTCCCTGCTCGATGGGGCCGCGGCACTCGCGGGGATCTCCCCCCTCAGCTCCCAGTCTGGGCAGCCACGCACCGAGCGGGGCCAGGCATTGTCCCGCGGCCTCCCCCACTCTGGCCCCACACCGTGCGGGCAGGAGGCCCTTTGAGAGAGCCACGCGGGGTAGGGAGCGGTCGGTGCCTAGGCATTGTCTGGAGGTGGGGACTCAATGGGGAGGGGGATGCAGGTCGCCCTTGCAGCCCCTTCCTCTAAGCCTGCCCCCCAACCCGAGCAGCCGGCCCCGCAGTGACTAGCTCCCCCAGAGTGTCCCCTTGCCGGCAGGGACGCTGCGCCCCCTTCCCCAGGCCCCTCTGAAGTCTTGTTGGGTGGAGGGCGCTAATCGCTCCAGTGGGGAGGCGTGTGGGGGGAGGCGGTTGCTATAGGCGGTGTGGGGCCGGCTCGCACTGTTACTGCTGGGGGGGTCACTGCCCCAGAAATGAGCGAACTTTCCTGCTATTGGCTGGTAACACGTATCTGTATGGCGAAGTTTCAGCTCCTGGGTTTATTGAAATAGTCTCGTAGGATCCGGTGGTTAACGGCAGAGAAAACTTGTGGCCCTTATAACGTGGCAGGGCGAGGTCCCCCCACACCCCCCGTTTTCTAGTTGGTTAAGCAAAATGGCCTCATCATCTAATATTTCTAACCACTGTCGTTGTGTGTCTCTTTAATCGCTTGGTTAATTGTTACAAATAGAGCCTCTCTAGCGACGGGAGAAGACTAGCTGGAAAAGATGTCTTTGGTACTTCATTGGCTTTAAATGTTGTATTTGTAGAACCTCCTACTATCTCTGTAAGCTTAATGCTGTTGTTAAGGGAATTCTTAAGGTGTTGGAGAGCTGAAAAGAAAAGTAGTTTATGGGACGCAATTACGCAGCCAATTCTAACCCAACCCGGAAGTTTATGTCCTGAACACGTGTTTGTGGGCAAGGTTAGGAGACTGAGGATTGCTGACCCTTTAGTGAGAGGAACCTGTTCGTTAATGTTTGTATGAATAGCGAGCAAAGTGCTCAAGGGTCCCTGCGACCAACTGGGATCAATGGTGGGATTGAACGTGCTACAAACAGTAACGATTAACGAATGAGCCTCAAGGTCCGGTTAACTCTGACAGCACACCACAAACAAAGGTTGCTAGGGAGAGTAATCACTTAACATGGAAATGCTCTTAAACTTTGTTGAGAAGAGAGGCCTCACTTTTTTCCAATCACAATGATTTTTAAAAATATCGATGATATCCCAGCCTTTTTATTTGAGGAGGAAGTTACATCTGTTAAAAAGTTCTTTCTGAAATAGATACATTCTTAGAAAGTCATGTATCCTGTTAAAGAATGGGCTAATCAGTTGAAGTGTGAAGGGATACAGTTTAAAATTATCTGACAAATTTACAAATCTCATTTATTTTTCTGTTTTATTTAGGCTACTCGTTGCATTTTATATTGCTTAATAAGTTTCTTTAAGTTTGTCATTAACTAATGCAGTGGGACAGTATTTAAAGTTTATAGATGTTTAGATTTCAATAATTTTAATTAAAAAAAATAAACAATTGAAGTTTCACAACTTTTTTATTAATCCTAAATTTTTGGGGCTTGATCTGCCTGATGGAAATTGATTTATGTATACAATGGTGTATGTTGTGTTATGGTACAGTATTCGTATTGGCTTTCAAGGACACACTACATGCTTACAAGGGCCATAACTTTACCTGAATCTAAAAATGACACTCCTGAAAAATGAAAATAGGCTACATCTCCCCCACCTTCTTCCTTCCCACAAGTCTATCCCATGTTGTCTAGAATAAGTTCTTTTCTCAACTGGTGCTAAAATGGTGTGAGAAATTGACATTAACTGTAGGTGCTTGAGGAGGGTTCAGAGGCAGACAGCTAATTGAAAAGAACTGTTTTGTGTATCTCAGTCTATGCTAGTACTGTTTTCTGGACTGAAGTAGAGAGAGGTTGGTGACCCCCAATACTTTATTGGAGACTATCTCATTCTCCAGAATCTTACTTTTCAGGGTTTAAGTCTCTAGCTCATACGGAACAATTGTTATTGAGAGCTGTGAACTGGCCCATTCATTTAAATGGAGGTGCTAACTTATATGCCCAGTTACAATTTAGACAGAGTTATGATGATAACAGTATGTAAGGAAAGAGAGGAGAGGGACAAAAATCAGCAGTCTGAGGCACTAATTTTTTTTTGACTCAGCAATTAAATGTTGCTTGGGAGTGGGCCACCAATTTTTTTTCCCCATCCAGTGAGACACCTGAGCTTCCTCTCCTCCATGGTTGGGGATTGTTTGTTTTTTTTCTGGACAGGTGGCTTCCTCCCCGGTTCTATTGGCTATGCTCCTCCCTGTGCTGGAGGCTGTCTGCAGGCTTGAGCAGACATTGCTGTATTAACTAAACTTGGGTTACTTTCAGGATTTTCTTTGCCGCTATGACATACATACATACATATAAACATTGATAACTTAGATTCTGATGTCATTGCATGACACTGAGAGCCAGAGTGCTAGGCATGTGCCTGTTTTTCCTTTGCCTTATTCCAGACTTGCCCC